GGTAATGAATGTGGGCCTTTCATGAGCAGACAGTATTTGATGATGGATATCTGTATCTCCAACAATTATGGCTTTGTCAATTTGGTCTCACTGTCTCATAACACTGATGCTGCTCGCCTTGGTTAACCCCAAACATATAAGAATTGTTCAAGTTAACACAACAGTTAATTAGATCCATAAACTTGTCCAATATTATTAACTGCCTCAGATCTCACCTATTCACTGTTCATTTCTGAAAACTTCTAAAATTTTGTTGTTAGATTTCTTTTTCCTGTTTTAACAATAGAATATCACCATTTGCAGTTTTACATGTTCCACCATGTTTTCCAATATATGTCATAATTGCTGAGTGTTTAATTATCCAAGACATATGTTCTTCTCAATAAGCTTTTGCTGAATTTCTACAGATTTCTCTCTCATTGAATGTTTAACTTTCTTCATCATCTATACTCTTTTTTCAACATTACAGCCCATCTCCTAGCAAACTGAAATGGGGTTCTCTACAGATATTATTTTTATGAATGCAAATGTTCTATTTCTTTTCACAACATGCAATGATTATCTATTAAATAAAGAGGAGTTTCTTCCCTTAGTCAAATCATGGTTAAAAACCACAAAAAGCACTTTCACCAAGGACAGTGGCTAAGTGTTTCTGACATAGTATGCTCAGAACAGGGTAATTTTCCCTCATAAAAATTTGTCTGCTAAGGACTGTCATGGCCTATCTTGCCATACCATATACTACCTTTAGGAGAAGTTTGTCCATTTACTTAAATAAATTCAATAATTGATTCAACACAATCAGACTTAGTTGACCATTCAGTCATTCAGCAACAAAAACAGACATAGAAATGACATGTAAAATATTACTAGGATCATCACTCAATGGCTTTAAAAAATCATTGATTTCACATCGAAATAGAATTGGTCACTGGTGACATTTTTTCCAGGGAGTCCAGAAACCTTAAAATGTGCAACATCACAGACAAAAGTCATTAAAAAACCATCAGTAGCAAGCGCAACACTTGGAATTTTATTATGTCTATCTCCACCCAGGATGCCAGATGAAAAAATTGCTTTATTTCTTAATTTTTTTCTCTGTGATGCACTATTCAGATCTACATCCTTTTTTTAAATCACCCTTTGGACCTTTTCTATCAAAGCATAATCTGATCATTCTCTTTGTAGCACTTTCAGATTCTCTAGAAAACTTATGATATGCGTCTTGATCCCTCCCCAGACTTCTTTCTATAAATTCAATTAAATCGTTCTCAGCTTCTATTACTGCCTTCTCAATAGCACTTCCTAATCCTAAAAAAAAAATTAAAAAATTGGGCATTACAATGAAGGAAATGTAATTTTACATTAAAACCAAGTTCAGATTGTAAAAAAGATTCCAATTTTGAATAAAAAAGTTTCATTGTAGCTGCCGCATCAGTCATTTAACTTCACAGTTTTGATAATTTAATAGTGACTTAAATATTTCCTGAAAATCTACAAATCTGCATAACTCTGTGATATTTTTTTAAATATATTAATAATGACATATAATAAAGTGTTAGCATCCTCTGATGCTACAGGTTTAAATCCTAAAGTGTATCTCCATTGTCAATGGTTATTTGGTGATTAAATTTTTTTTTTTTTAATCATTACCATTTGATAGTACCATTACTATATGAGGTAAAATTAGAACTCTGAGCTATGTTCTCTACAACTTGTAAATTACTTAACCAACATTATCACTACATGCAGTTATTTATTAACTGTCATGGGCAGTTATTTATTAACTGTCATCGCTTAGTGATGTATATGGGGTTAGTGCCGCCCTGTGTCTGGTCGAGAATTTTGCCTCCCCACCTTTTAGAAAAAAACTCTGGAATTGTCATATTAAAAAAAGAGTGCCGCCTCCCTCTATATATGCTCTATATAACCTGGATATCTTTCCTTCCGTTTACTTGATATCAAATAATTATAGTCATTTGGTCTGCCACAGAAAAATCTTTAAGTGGAGTCTATCTCCTTGAAACACTTCTGCAGCCAGCAACCATGTGTTTCTTGGTCAAATCCGAGTTAATCTCGTTAACAATGTTTTTATTACTTTTGATATCTCGGTGGTATCAATTCACTGATGTATCTCAGTATACTCACCATGGAACTATCTCAATACAACCACAACTTCTCCCCCAGGATGTCAATATGCTCACTACAAGCAGTTATTTTGTCTTGCTGCATACTGACTTGAGCTCTCTAATAGCCTCTAGTCTCCTAAAATTAACTGTCATGGCTTAGTGTTGTATATGGGGTTTGTGCCGCCCGGTGTCTGGTCGAGAATTTTGCCTCCCCACCTTTTAGAAAAAAACTCTGGAATTGTCATATTAAAAAAAAGAGTGCCGCCTCCCTCTGCACCCCCCCCCCCTTCCTACATCACTGCCTCCTCTACTATAACTTGATCATGAGGCTTTTGTGGCATTGTAAGTGCCTTTGCAAGTCAACATCTAATAGTGTTAGCTTCCTCTGATGCAACAGGTTTAAATCCTAAATAAAGTGTATCTCCATTGTCAATGGTTATTTGGTGGTTAACTATCTTTCTTTGATCATTACCATTTGATAGTACCATTACTATGTAAAAATTAGAACTCTGGGCTCTCTACAACTTGTAAATTAATATACTCAATGGCAACAGCTCATTTGGCATTCTCTTATTCATTGGTAAGTATATTTAATCAATATTGAATCTGCACACTCAGCTTCTTTATGTGGGATTAAATAAGCTGTCACGTTCTTTGCAAAATTCTTCACAATTTATGTTCCACAATCAGCTACAATCAGATTGCTCGACATTAAGCCTTGTCCTCTTTCTTATGGGGCATTAGTTCATTTTTCTTTGCCATACCCGGTATCATAATTCTTGTACATGAGCCAGAAATTGAGACTTATACTATTGAGCTACTGTAATAAACCAGGCATCAAAATTCTTGTATTTAAAAAGTTAGTGTCCTTAAAACAGTCTAAATTTAATAAATACATTTTATTTTTTTTGGACTACCTACTTATTGCTTCACCAGCATCTTCCTCAGCCATCGGTAGCCATTTCAGAACCGGTTCATGGTTTGTAGGATAAATACCAGTCTAAAAGTCCAGGAAATTTTGTCTTTATGAATCTTTTTTTTTGTGGACACATTTGCTTTTGTATGTGGTAATTGAGTGCCACTTTTCTGAAAAAGCAACAAGTAGTTGACTAAGTTGTGTTGCATTTGGAGGGAGGCAACAAGATGCAATGTAATTTTCCACGCTCCGCTGAATTATTGCTACAGAAAAAGGAAGCTGAGATTGTCCCCTATAAGCACACAGTGACATGTCTTCTTCCCAAAGCAAAGACATTGCTACATGGAACTGTCCTGAGTCTTCTATGTGTTATCTGACAGGTAAGTATTTTATTAACAATGCAAACATACATGTTGCCTTGAAAAAAGGGTAACAATTATCTGTGACGTCATATAGTAAGGATAAAGTTATCAGTATTTGTTGTTGTTATATTAGTGTAGAACTTCCTTGTTATTCACATTTTAACGATCAGCACAAGTTCTTACAAGCACGAGGCCAACATCATGAATTTCGTATCAAATAAATTTATTTGACATAAATTACACTGTATAAAACCCATCTCTGAAATTGGAGGAAATATAATTGATATTGTCTTATTACTTCACATATAACTTTCACACAGATACTATCAGATGCGCCTTATCTTCTATCCAATCTCAAGCTTACGTCCATGACACTTTCCATCTGTTAACGTCTGCACATGACCTATATTATCTAATTAACTTCCTGTTCATCCTAACTTGTTAATATTTGATCTGTGACATTATTCAAATAGGGAGTAACTTTAATATACTGGCACTGGTGTTTTAAACAATATGGTATTAATTGGTTAATTTGTTTATTCCAAAGCTGGTGAAATCTATGATGGCCTTTGTGCAATATTTCTGGCCAGTTAGTACATTATCGGAAGCAAAGACGATGCTACAGAGAAATGTCCAGACTTCTATTTGTTATTTGACAAGTAAGTATTTTTTTGATCACTTTTTAAAACAAAGATACCTGTTTCGCAAGACAAAAAGTTAACAATTGTGCACTTCCAGTCCAAATAGAGAGCAATATTAATGAATTTTTTAAACAATATGGTCTTAATTAGTTTGTTTATTCCACAGCAGAGGAGCTCTAGGATGGCCTTTGTTCAACATTTGTGACCAGACTTAAAGATGGCTGTTGATGGTACAAATCTATGAAGCTTCAGACCAAGGATGATACGGTATTAAAAATATTCTCCAGAAGTTTTTCCTGACAGTAGTAGCTGCCATCCAGTAGATAGAATGGACATTTTAGGCCAATAATATATTAATAAAAACTGATGCAAAATTTGTTATTTAATCTCCTGTTATTGTGCTTTAATTTTATTTCTCTGTTATTTTTGAGTAAACACTTCTGACATTATTTGACTTTGATTGGGATTTTAAGATCACATAATTGAGAACTTGTTTTTTTTACTCTTTTAATACTGCCTAAAATATGGTGTAAGAAAGAGGTAACTTTTTTTTGTAAGTCCCTGTACGGACTTAAAATATCTTTCATTTGAATGTGATGTAATCCGTGATTCAGTCTCAAAATTAAAAGTATAATTTGGAGAGAAAAAAAGTGCGCTTTTTATTTTAAAAGTTTGAATGAATGGCTCTAGCTGCTTGAACTTGAAATATTATAATGTTGTACATCGGACCTTTAAGTTTAAGCAGAATGATGTTATAATTATAATATTGTACATTATCACTGACCTCTACATAGCATGATGTTAGCAATGAAGGACTAATAAATATTAAAAATGACATAGCCAGTGTTAAAGTTATAGTATTGTGTAGTGGCCTCAGTCATTTCAATTTGATCTCAACTAAAGTATGAATGATACAAAATACATTAATTATTAATAGTCACTTTAATTTGATCTCACAGACATTGATAAAAATTAGTCAGTTGTCCAAACACACAAGAAGAAAAATAATCGTTCAGGATTTCTAGGCTTCAGCGAGATCAGAATGCAAACTTTAAGATGGGGTTTATGAAGCTTTTTAATTCCTGCTAAAATAATACAGAAATTCTATGCCAATAAATAAATAAGGTAGGTACATTTTGCCAGTCTGTACATTTGATTGGATGGAGGAAGATTTCTTCTAATAGTACAAAATAGTTATAGTAAATGCGCCCTGCACTACAACAAATGATTCAATCATGCTGGGACATTTTAAGACCGCTTTTAAACCTACGATAGGCATAAAAAAAATTCAATAACCCAGTAAGGTAATAGTTAATATGAATGCAGCTAAAATGTTTCAGTCATCGCCCAGAATCTCATTCTAATGAGAAGATTAAAAAACCCTTCAGCTTCCAACGTGAGGTGCCCACGTTTAAGCCACGCTAGTGGAGAGTTCAGCCATTTTAGGTCACTTTGGAGACTCCCAACCATATTAACATGGAAACTTCAGCCATACCATGTTAACTTGGATATATCAGCAGCGCCAGATTAACTTTGATGTCGGGTACCGTACGTCAGCCATTGCAATAAATGCCCCCCTGGCTTCATTACTTATGTTGGTTTTAGCATAGACAAATTGGAGGAACAAGTAACATTATTCAATTATGGTGGAAGTCACTAAAAGTGAAGGGGCCTCACATTTCTCAGAAGAAAAAAAAAAAAAAAACAGCCGTCAATGATAACTGATGTGATTATTGTAATATAAACATCCAATACGGTAACTGATTGCCCTCAACAAAGTTATTGGTTTTAGAATAAAAAAATTGGAGGAACAAGTAACATTATTCAATTATGGTGGAAGTCACAAAAAGTGAAGGGGCCTCACATTTCTCAGAAGAAAAAAAAAAAAAAAAACAGCCGTCAATGATAATTGATGTGATTATTGTAATATAAACATCCAATACGGTAACTGATTGCCCTCAACAAAGTTACTAGCGAATTCTTTAATACTAATTTTAATTTTTATCTTGACATGAGATCGAACGAAATAGTTTAACGGTATGTACAAATTTACACCTATGGTATTTTAATAAGCTGACTAAATAACATTCATTAACTTAAGCTAGAAAATAAACGTCTTTAGTCAGCATTGACGTCACGCAAGGCATTTGCTTTTTTCGATGAGATTTGGCATCCCCGGTGTTGGACTCGAACTCATAGGCCACCATTCTGTTGACCCGCGTCATCATGGTCAGTAGGTCAAGGCGTCTCCAGTTTTCTTGGAAGATTTTGACGACAGCTTGGATGAACCATGACCCGAGCTCTGTGTGTCGCCATGAGGCGTAACCTACATCATAGAGGGAAGGAGAAATATTCAACCCTTGAAGAACATAAAACGAGCTCATACTTCTCCAATTATCATATTTATAATCAAAATATTAGTTTATAATTACCCGGTACCATACACTTAGTACCGGTATCCGTATTGAGTATAAATAATCTATATAGGAATCTTTGGTAAACTACGTCACGCTAAAAATGAACTTTTTTAGACACCCCCTCCCCCTGTCACGAAGTGTCACAGATTCTTTTAACCCTCCCCGCCCCCAGTGTCATGTTACACATTAAAAAAAATCAAAACATACATACCATAATCATAAACTAAGATTTTATTTTATTCTTTAACTTTAAAATTTTCCCCATAATGGATTATGATATAGTATTAGTATTATTAGAAAACTGAGTTTCATAGTATCGGGTACCTATAATAACACCCGAGGCAAAGTTTAAAAAAAAATAATTGAATAAATATTTTGTTTTTAAATTAGGAAATTTTAGATTTTTTTTTTAAAGACCAAAAAAAAACGTGACGTAACAAATTTTTGACTTCCCTTTCCCCTGTCCCAAAGTGTCACAAATTCTCGACCCCCTCCCCCCTGAACGTGACGTAATTTACGAACGATAGGTACCGGTACTAGTACTAGGTAGTACTAATATAAATTATGCGTTGCAGTATCCCACCCAGATTAATTACAGTAGTCTACCTTGAACAACGGAGTACGCGATGAAGAAGTCAGCATCTGATGGTATTCTTCTGACGACGGTATCGCGTGGTTCCATAATAGCAGCATCGACCACATCCGCGCCATCATCATCTAATTCTCCCCTGCAGGCCTGAACAAACATTAATTGGACAAATACAAAATAAGGTACAGTGTAGAGTAGAGCGTTGAAAAAGTATATTCATCTGGCTTTCTAGCTGTTTTAATAAACTTTAAAGTTTTTGGATAAATGTTCCATTTTAAAAGAAAATTGGTTAGCCTACTGCTTAAACTTAAACAAATTAATGTCGGGTTGGACTGATGTATCCGCCATCTTGTGGATGCATCGGCAAAAAAAAAAAAAAAAAAAAAAAAAAATGTGATTTTCCAGAAATGATTGAGCAAAAGAAGCCAAATGAGAATTAGAAATAAGGACCCAGCGCCTCATATTAAATTTAAATACCGGTGTTTAATATATATTTTCTTAAAGTATTTTTTAAATATCTGAACTTTGATTTTAAAAACGCTCTACAAACAAATTTTTAAACGGTTTTACATATTAATTAATAAATTGCTTTGGTTAAAACGATACTATTAACGGTTAAAACGATACTATCAACGGTTAAAACGAGAATGGAAACTTTGTGTTTTGAAGTGTTAGCCTACCTGTATAAAAAACAGCTTTGGTTTTCCGACGAGTGACCTACAGTTGTTTCCCCTGAAAGGCTGGAAGATCTCGCTGACTTCTATCCCCTCATCTGTCCCGTAGACGTACTCGTGATCACCATGGGAGAGTAGCACACACACAAAGCAACTGCTTTCGGAATGGTCTTCTCTTGACACTGTCACGAGAAACAGGTTCACTCTGTTAACTGTTATTTTTCCCCCCTCATAAGTGGTTCTTAAACTTAACCATTTTGATACACTATTGGCAGTTTGATAAACTCATGGGGTGCCATTAGTAATTTTGAGAACCTCTGATTTATTAAAATTAGATAAACTCTAATTTTTAAAGGATAATGAACATAGTGTTTCAATAAATATATAATAAATATTTTAAGTATTTTCCTTAAATGGAAATAACCCTTATTGCCCCAGAGGCGTACCGATGGTATTTGGCGCCCGGGGACAAGATTCGCTCCCGGGGACAAGATCCATTTTAAAGCGCCCCTTTTTCTTTTTTTTCAACTCTCAAGCCCATTATTTTGATCAATAAAATAATATCAAAGCACATTTTGGCGCCCCTAACTAGCTGGCGCCCGGGGACATCTGCCCCCCTGCCCTCCCCTCGCTACGCCTCTGTATTGCCCTTAGCTCCACATACTAAGACTTAGCATCTTGCTTCGACAATAGTTAAGATATTGATTTACTGGTTACACATAGGTAATTTATGCAGCGCGGTGAGCCCAGCTCTAGTCTATGGTACCGCGCTATATAAGACCGCTGTAATAATAATACCGGGTAACTTTTTCAGGTAATGAATTCTTGTGGCGTCACTTCAAAGACTATTCCAGGCCAACATGTTTGTTACAGACGCCAGGTCTTACCTTCATCAAGCTCTCTCCTTATCTCATCTGCTGTCAGGTTATCCCTCCGCAGTATTTTTTCAAAGCCCATGGACTTGAACAGCCTCTCCATTCTCTCGGCATCGACTTCGGACCCGTCTCTATCGGAGAGATCACAACGTAAGAATGTCTCGTTGTTGATGATTACTGCTGTGCCACGTTTCGGGTAGTCCATTCTGTAATATTGGAGATCTTGTGTCCTGGAAGACATTTTTCTAAAAAATCTGATAGGAGATAAGAGTCAGGATCGGTACCAACGAGAAGGTGTCGTGGGCAAGGAAACATGTGTTATATTTGTTTAAAGGTATTTATTGTAACCACTGTGAGATCCAGAATAAGTAGCTTGGAGGAGAGAGGGGGGGGGGTAGACATAAGGTAGCGTGAGATATGAGTAGTAGGATTGGTGGGTACGGTACCAACGAGAAGATGGCATGGGGAGGTAAAAAGTTCAAAGTTGAGCAACAACTGTGTGGAACCCAACAATACGTCATTGGATGGGGATTAGGGGGCTTAACTTAACCGCGACAGGGGGTGTAACTTGTTCAAACGTAAATGCATGCCTTTTTAAGCCCATACTTTTCTTGTTTTTAAATAGAAATGACTTGACAACTGTTGAACATGTTAGGGTGGCCTCCCCCTCCCCTGTCAACCTATCATAGAGTCGTGTGCCCTTAGATTACTTCTACCTGCAAAGCGGAGTAAAAGAAGACCAAAGTCCTTTATGGAAAGTCAGAGTGCAACGTGTTCAATCTTCTCTAGACAAGACAAGACATCACATGGTGTACATGAAGCACAACAAAAGTTGTCTTGTCATTTGGTTTATACATTTAAATACTCTTCGTGGCGTTATCTTAACGTTGTTCGCTGCTGACTCGCCAAAGGGCTTTGGGGGTTCAATTTTGTTTGATATTGTCCTTAGCTGTGAATGGCCAGGTGGAATGGGCTCGTTTGTCCAAGCAGCCCGTGTGCGGTACATGTAAAGTTTGAAAAATCATGAGAACTATATCCCACAGCATAGTCTTGGCCACGCCTCTCTCTCTACCTCCACCCCCTCTCTCTCTACCTCCACCCCCTTTCCCTTATTCTCTATTTTTGTGTTATCTCATTCCTTCTCTATTTCATCCTCAACCCCTTTCTCTCTCCCATTCTATTCATCTCCCTCGGTCTCTGAAAATAATTAATGCAAAAGCTAGCTTGAAACTGGAGTCGTATTCCTTGGCCGAAACGACATGACGTGATCCTAGACTGCGGTCAGTCAATGCTTGCTCCTACCCCAATCCATAGACTGTGACTAAGACACTCCTTTAACAGATTATTTAAAGCTAGGTCAACTACTTTTTTTGTCCGAGAAGGAGGCCTGGGAGGAAACATTTACTTAACCCACGCGTAGTTGATTTCTTTAAAAAAAAAAAAAAAATCGTCACTCCAACATGTCTGTATGAAACGTCCGTATCCTATTGTGTGTCAGAGGATTATGACGTTGACATATGATAAGAGATCATTACAATCTCTAGCTCTAAAAATAATCAAACCATTTTCCAAGTAAAGCCATTGGCCGGATTATAAACACAGTTTAAACCCGAGAGAATAAATAGTGTAAATTAATAATTTTTTTAATTATGCATAGCCATCAGCAATGGCAGACAAAAAACAGACAATATGCAGAAAACATACAGACAACATACCGACAACGTGCATAAACATGCAGAAAACACACAAACACACAGACAACATGCAGAAAACACACAAACACACAGACAACATGCAGAAAACACACAGACAACATGCAGAAAACACACAAACATACAGACAACATGCAGAAAACACACAAACACACAGAAAACATGCAGAAAACACACAAACACACAGACAACATGCAGAAAACACACAAACATACAGACAACATGCAGAAAACACAAACACACAGACAACATGCAGAAAACACACAAACACACAGACAACATGCAGAAAACACACAAACACACAGACAACATGCAGAAAACACACAAACACACAGACAACATGCAGAAAACACACAGACAACATGCAGAAAACACACAAACATACAGACAACATGCAGAAAACACACAAACACACAGACAACATGCAGAAAACACACAAACACACAGACAACATGCAGAAAACACACAAACACACAGACAACATGCAGCAAACACACAAACATACAGACAACATGCAGAAAACACACAAACATACAGACAACATGCAGACACGCTTTGCGCCTTGTTTTCCTCGTGTTTCAAAATAACTGTAATAAAAATAATGGATAAACCATCGGATCCATTTTCAGACAGCGTCTTACTTTGATGACGCCCAGTCGCCCCCGTGACCTCCCCTTCACCGTCTAACTCTGTCTGCCAAGCCAATCTGTGTTTAAGCAAGTCGTACAACAAAGCGACACATTCAAGTCGTACAACAAAGCGACACATTCAAGTCGTACAACAAAGCGACACATTCAAGTCGTACAACAAAGCGACACATTCAAGTATTACAACAAAGCGACACATTCAAGTCGTACAACAAAGCGACACATTCAAGTCGTACAAGAAAGCGACACATTTTTACTCAATTTAAAACATGAATGACGCCATCCTGGAAGACCCAAGCATTGCTCATTGCTCACTGCTCATTGCTCACTGCTCATTGCTCACTGCTCATTGCTCATGTCAACGATGATTCAACTTAAATTAAACGACCCCGAAAAAAAAGTTTTTCATAGAAATCTGTTTTAAACGGTAATATCCGGGACACAAAAAAAAAGGGGGGGGGTGGGGGGGGGGGCGAGGCTGAAAATTTGACAAAACATGCATACAAGTAACGCACTTAATAAAAAAAACAACAAAAACCCCCCCCCCCCCCCCCCCCCCCCCAATGGGCTCACAAGCGCACATTTTTTTTCACCCCCATGAAATACATGGATATTCTAATGACCCACGCGCTTTCACACAGTAAATTAATTTCACAGACTATTTTAGGGAAACAAAAATCAAAAGAAAATATTACGCACCAAACGTACTTGCGATTTAAAAAAAAAAGAATCTCCATGAATGAGCGCAGTTTTGGAGAGTTTCCGTTGATCTTCCCTTTGGAAAAACAGGAAAGAACTAATTTTCGGGGATTGGGGTTGGCGGTTTGGGTTGAACATTTCAAAGAATCGGCTACGAGTCTATGTGCCAAGTTTCAACTCGAGAGCTTGACGGCAACTGTGGCAGTTAGCCGTCCGAAGATTTTGTCAACCAGCCAGCAAATCCACAAACGAAAGCGAAGTTAATATAAAGGATTTAAAAAACAAGAAGAAGACATTCTCCACGTATAGCACACTGCATGAGCCATATCAATATTCATTAATCTATGACGAAAGAAATCAAAACAGATATCAGTTACGAAACAAACATTGACTTTCCCTTGTTTCGTCAATATCAGACCTTATGGAACTTACTAGAGGTTTTATTGAAAGCATTTCGTGACTTCATTATGTCCCTTTATCGCAATGATGATCTCCCTTAGTTTAATGCCCAACCCGCACAAGTTTACTCAGTCTTGAATGACCATTTCATATTACGATCCAATGAGTGGATGCGGTAAAAATCTTGGCTCGCCCTGGGCGGCCCTTACTTGACTGATTTATCCACCTGATCTATTTGTCCAATCCATCCACATGATCTATTTGGATGATCTATCCACCTGATCTATTTGTCTGATCTATCCACCTGATCTATTTCTCTGATCTATCCACCTGATCTATTTGTCCAATGTATGCACATGATCTATTTTTCAGTTCCATTTACCTGATCTATCCACCTGATAAGATCGGTTGTCCTATTCATGAGTCCCGAGAATTTATAGCACCGGTATCATTGGACCGTAACACAAGTTTTTGGCGTTGTTTTTTTTTGTCTACGGACATGCGATTATTTATCACGAATAAAGTTATGGCTAGGAAAGATTCACATACTTTGGAAAAAAAATATATATACATATATATATATATATATATATATATATATATATATATATATATATATATATATATATATATATGTGTGTGTGTGTATATATATATATATATGTGTGTGTGTACGAAGTGACTATTCGGACCCGGGTCCGAGAAGTTAGAGGCTGGAATTAAAATTTAAAAAAAAAAAGTATTATTGTTTGGTTGTCTTACAAACCCTACATTAATTTTTAAATATTTTAAAATAAATCCTAACTCTCACTTCTCGGACCCGGGTCCGAATAGCCGCAGCCACATTTATATATATATATATATATATATATATATATATATATATATATATATATATATATATATATATATATATGTGTGTGTGTGTGTGTGTGTGTGTTTATATATATATATATATATATATATATATATATATATATATATATATATATATATATATATATATATATATATGTGTGTGTGTGTGTGTGTTTGTGTGCGCGTGTTTGTTAAAATGAAATCTTGTGACAAAAGGTGTGGCTGTTAAAAAAATAATTCCTCAGCTCCACCTACTGAAAAAAACCAAAACTTGAGATAACTAGACTTACCTTTATTTCACGTTCTGTACCTATCAGCGTGCAATCTTTTTTAACAAGGAGAAGTGTTTGAGACGACCTTTATACGATAACCGGATAGGGGTTAGAAGTCACGTGCCTTAGTTTAATCCAAACTATTGACAATTTCCGTATAGCCAGAGGCGTTGCTAGAGTGTTCGGCGCTCGGGGTCAAGACTAATTTTACGCCCCTCGCTCCCCGTTTTAACTCCGAAAACGTTTATCTGAATCAATAAAATACCCACAAATCCCATTTCAGCCCCCCCCCCCCAATTTGTCTTAAATCCTTCGCCCGTGGACATCTCCCCCCCTTTTCAGTCCCCTTAGCTTCGCCTCTGCGTAAATCCGGTATGGGTTTCCCCATTAGCTATGACGTATCCTTAACATTCTGTTTTATGCCGCATCAATAGGATCTCGTGATAGTCGGGGTTTTCCTACCAATTTGTAGGGGCTTTCCAGAGTGGTGGTCCACGGACCGGAACCGGCACGACAGCTTCGCTTTGCCCACCCACACAACGTGAGTCATGAGACTAGAGCAATGCTGATTGTTTCCTCTTTTATGGAATTAGATCTGTTTCTTTTTTTTTTCAAGAATAAATTTTATTTTATTCGTAAGACAAACACACAAAAATATGGGAGGGGGGA